TATTCATGCCATTAAAAAGGACAAGCATTACCATCGCCACCACCACAACCCACAATCACAACCCGTAACCACCGTCATGGTTATAAACCGATCAATGTCAGACGAGTCTAGCCCGGAGCTACCATCTCTTGGTTGGAGGATTTGGGACCGGATTCTCGTGAGGGCTCATCTCATCGACGAACCAGGCCAAAATTCCAACCTCCTACAACGGAGTTCCTAAAGCACCAACAACAAAACAGTACTCTAGATTTTAATATCCCGTCGCGTATTAACAACAATAATGTCTATAATTTCAACAAGAGTCCTGTGACTTCACCATCAATGGCTCCCGTTGGGTCTCACTTTGGTTCTTCTCCCCATCAAGCCTCAAAGCAAGATTACAATACCAATACTCCTTATCTCAGGCGATGATTAAAGATTCATATGTTTGGTATTTAAGGTTTTTCTTTGGGATTTTCTAAAGGGGTGATTTTAATTTGAATTGTTAATTGTAATTCATTTTAGCTGTAAGTTGTGTGGGTAAATGATTAAATTTAAGGGCTATAGTATTAAGTTTCTACAGAATTGTAAATTCACTTTGTATACTTGTATCAAGTATTTGCTTTCTGTGGTTTGTAATTTGTGGATTTTTGTTCTGGGAAAATCTTGCTTAATTCATAGATTGATTTAGAATGATATTTGTTAATAGAATATTTTATTTGCTCTTCTTTGAAATTCCATTTCTTCCACTACTCAATTTTTCTGGTCAAGATTGGCAGGGTTTCTTTTATCTCAGTTGAAATTTTCTTTATGAGTGACCTTTTTTTTTAATGAAGTAAAGGCTGGATGAGATTTTTTAATATATTTTGACTGCACCAACTAAAGAAATCTAACTGTCACAAAATGTTCATTTCGTCCAATTCACTAAAACTTAACTCAAGTTTTTCCTTACCCCTATCCACACTAATGAATTAATTCTTTAATATCACAGAATATAAACCGATCATCACTAACCTATAATGCTCACAAAAAGACGAACTCTATGCCTTCGCGATGACTTCAAAATGATAAAAAACACATACAAAGACTTCAGTCAACAGAAAAAGAACCTGAACTAATATACATAATTAGTCTTAAACAATTCTTAGTTTTACTTTTAATATACCTAATCAGAAAATAATCTAACACAGATTAAACTACTTGGCAATGGAAATTCAATCCGTCTTAAAAGGTAAGAGAACCCAATTCCCATAGTGAAAACTTTCAAGATACGGTTATAATAACTTAAGCAAAATAATCTGTTTTATTTATATCTGACAAAATTAATATAAAAGTTAAAATTATGATTTAAACAACTGAATCAAAAGCAACATTGCAGACATTCAGATAATTATTTGATTGCAATTAAACCTCTGCTGTATATTTTATATGATTTGCCAGGCAATACCAGACAAGGAGTAAGCAACAGAAACTATCTTCAAATAACATAATAGGTAACTACTGTAACAAAAACACACACACACACATATATATTTACCAAGAAAAACTTTAATCCATTAAAAAGTGCTGCTACCTGATGGGACTCCATGCCAATCCTCATAATACTGTCGATTCTTCTTATGAAAGGATTTGGGCTTATATCAAATTCGAAGATCTTCAATGTCAGTTAAGAGGCCTTTGTTATCAACGGAGTTCTTATCAGGCAGGTTTACGACCAACTGTCCACAGGCACCACTAATATCCTGACCCATTTCCTTGCGGATTGTTGTTCGGATGTTATAGGTGCCTCTCAGAATTTTCTGGAATCTTAACACTTTCTGTTCATTACTCGTTTTGAATTGACTTAGATTACCAATTGGGTTGAAAGGTATCAAATTCACAACCTGCTGAGGAAGACACTTGTCCGTATAAAAAGAACAAGGAAAAAGGATACTCCAAAATAAATCTACTGCCAAAGGGAAATACTGTTTCAAACCGATAACAATCTAATGCACTTAAAGTGCATATATTGTAGGTTAAGCATGATGGCTAAAGTTGTATAATTCGAATTAAACATCAATAATAAGTAATATTTTTCAGAATCCACGCAAGACCAAATTTAACATCTCACCACTTGAAATGTCTCCAACAATTTGCCAAGTTGGTGAGCGTGCTGCTCTTCGTCGTTTATTCCATCAAGCATAATGTACTCGATCAATATTTTTTGCTGACTGACAATTGAAGACCAAGATTTAAGATTCTTAAATAACAGAAAGTGCTATGAAAGAAGCATTAGAAAAAACTTATTGCTACCTGTCCTTTTGATATACTTTTAGTGTATCCATAAGTTTGTCAAGAGGAAAAGCTCTAGCTGCAGGCATGATTTGACAACGGATATCTTGAACTGGTGCATGCAATGAAACTGCTAAATTCAAACCCGGTAGATCGATATGAAGCTTTTTGATAGCATGGATAATGCCAACCTACAAATCCAATGCAACTGTTATGCATGTAGATTAGGTTTTCCCAGCAGTCATAAACCATTTTATCAAATGCATTTGGAACCCAGATTGAAATTTTCCTCAAAGTACCATTGCGTTATCTCTCCTATCAGAAACATGGAATAAAAACAAGAAACAAGAGGGAAATACAATTGATTAAACTGTCTTCCCCATAACTTGCAATACATGTTCAAAACAGTAAGAAATTATAAACTGTATGTGAATGGTAATCCCTCTGACTTCCAAACCACTTTAAAAGAAGGCACATTCTTCAGTTACCTATATAAACCTTTACAACCTAAGGTTCACTGACTCAAAGCCACAGCAAGAATAAACTCATGAAATTGATGATAGACCTACTGGCTCTCATTACAGATGACAAAAAAACTCCAACAGCAATACTTGGTCACACTAATGGGTGCACCCAAAAGTAAACCGAGAGGAGAAATTTACCTAAAAAATGATAAATAAATGATAACATTTTAGCATAGCTTGCATTTTTATACCGTTGAGATGGTAATTCTCTTTGGTGACAGCTGAAACGGTGATCTTGTCATGACACGAACAGCTTCCACTACAGCATTATAGTTGTTCAATGGTTCCCCCATTCCCTGCCCAGCATAGAGGAAACAAACTGTGGACTAAAGTTTTAATAACATTTTCAAGAGTAATTAACTTTTCGATCAAGGCATATATGATAGAGAGAAATTCCCTAATACTAATCAACAGAACTTCGATGTCTTTTATGAGCTGAATAGGTAGAGAAACATACACATATATATACACTAATGTGCACACCTACCAAACAAAGAGACATTAGAAAAAGCAAAAAGAAGACTCTGCATATAAAAAAATCTGCATCCCAATCATGGTAAACAGAAATCAAGTAACACTTTTATAAGTCCTCTACTGGAAAGACTGTTTGCTCAGTAGACCAAAATTAGCAGAGGAAGAAATAATCACCATGAAAACCACATTGCGTATGTTTGATAAACGTGACGCATGAACCAGTTGCTCCACGATTTCTCCTGATGACAAATTGTTCTTAAACCCCATACTTCCAGTTGCACAGAACTTGCAACCCATTTTACAGCCGACCTTTGAAAATAAAGAGAGAGAACTCCAATGAATATAGGTGAAACGAGCTATTCCATAATTTAAAATATAGGTGAACCAATCAGCTCAACCCAATTGAGAGATACCTGCGATGAAATGCACAATGTAGACCTCGGACCGCCAGGACGGGGTTTCCCTGCATATTTTCCCAGACGGGTATCATACCGCATAATCACAGCCTCTACAAAAGCCCCATTCTAACCGGAAGTAGAACAAAATCAGGTTTGGGGAAGAAAAGAAGAACCAGAAAACATCGCTTGTATACAGTTTATACGGATATAATAACAAGAAAGACAGGAACCTGCAACTTAATGAGGAGTTTTGTGGTGACTTCATCGGAGGAGTGGAAAAGTGAATGAAGAGTGGAAGTAACAGGCTTAAATCTTGAGCGGAGCAGAGTGTAAGCAGCCGAAGGCAAAGACGGAATTTCATCCCATTCACACTCTGGATGCTGAATTAAGTACCTTGAATTTCACAACCAGAAACAAAAAATCAGTCGAATCAAAATGCATTACATATACACCATAATATATATGCAGAGAGAGAAGAACCGTACTTCCAAATGGAGGGGATGAAGATAGGGTTGATTCCAGCTTTTTCAAATTGGGATGTGATTTCTGCAGCGTCAAATACTGATTCGAATCTCATATTATACTTTTCGCTAATCTAAAAATTAAGAAACAAACTGGAAACCTGTTGCAGGTTTTTTACCATTGGGAGGATTTAGGGTCTCTTTTTCCTTAGCTCCAGCGTCAAATACTACGTTTTCATCTGAAAACCGGCCAAAACGACAACGTTTTACGTTGAAACGTGCAAAAAAAGATGGATGTTGTATTGAGACGGGCCCATCAGGCGTTACTGGACTCGGACAGCACCGACCCGTAATCCTTCCACCGAAGAGAGCGGGAGGTATTCGTTGCTCTGTTTCCAGCCTCACGCGGTCCCCTCCGCTTTAAGAGAAGTGAGCCCCAAAGCCTGCGCTAAAGACCCACGACTCAACTCTCCTCTTGGAACGGGCGGGCCAGCAGTTCAACCCTCCAAAGCCCAACCTTCCGAACCGAACCAACCTTCAACCAATCTTAATGCCCCCACTTGAGTTACAAGCCCGCGTTACCAGGCCCGGCGAGGGCTTAGCTGCTTGGTACGATTATATAAACAAGAAATTTTTGTTGTAAATAAGCAATGTGGGACAGAGACTTGAATGTTAAGCTTGGGGTCGCTTACGTTGACTGTGAACAGATTATGTAGCTTCATAGATTTCGTGTAAGTGCTTGTTTTTCATTCTTCAAAAAGGTTTTAATGTGGGCTAAGGTTTAGATTATGGTTTTGGTTCAGTTATTTTTCTTTACTGTTGATGAGAACTTGTGATGATTCATGACTTATTCTGTGTTTTCTTCTTATTGGTATACGACACATATATACGTACATATAAAATAGAGAGACACACATTATGTAAAACATACATGTATGCGTTCATCCCAGCTTCTTCAAAACGGGCTCTCATATGTACACATTTTTTTTAGCCTTCTTGTGGGTCTGTTGATGTTTTCATTTTTTAAAAGAAATGTAAAGGTTTTCTTAATTGGTAGTAATAATGCACGGCAATCAATCAGCCGTTGTGTGGAGACGGTGGAGATGGAGGTGGTAGTCTCTATCGCCGCAGCTCTTTTTCTTTCTCCACCAGTTGAGCTAAGAGTGCTGCCATTTTCTGCGAGAACAGAGCGGTTGGAACTCGAAATCGCACTGAAGAGAAAGCTGTAAATCGGATCAGAAGACAGCCCTCCACCTAATAAAACTGCTTACAAGGGATTTCCTCACTCCTTCAGGGTATGTCTGGGAGGAGGAAGAAGGGGGGAATGATATGGAAAATTGAAGGAAAATCATTTGCACCTCTTCTCCAGGTCCAAATTTTATCTCCCAAATTGAGAGACAATTGATGGAAAAAGAAAATTGACAATGTAAAATCCAATCTGAAGTGATTGACACAATTAGTGTTGGTTAAGAAGTGGACCAGAACCATTTCTTTCATGGTGAAGTTGCAACTAAAGCTTTAAAAACTTGATGAAACTGGGAGCACTCAAAAACCACCATTTGGGTAACCATAAGACACCTTGTCAAAGAAGCAAATTGTCTTTTTCTTTTCTTGCAACAAAATTAATATATATATTCATTAAGAATATTTGTTCAGTAGAATCTAGCACATTTCATCTAAAAACTAAATTGAGTTAGCAGCTTCTATTTGGTTTCATAGTAAAAAAGCTAACTCTTTTCTTGGAACCAGCGAGTTAGCAAATTTAACTATCTGAAGTCCAACCATCTGGACCACATAACTTTAACAACTTTAATGTCATCTCTTTAAGTTAAAAAGAGCAGATGTTTGTATTGAGGTTAGCCGATCAGACTGTTACCCTTCCACTAAAGAGAACAAGAGGTTTTGTCTAACTCTCCCCTTGAAACCAGCAGGCCAACAAATTTAACTCCTAGAAATCTAACAATCCAGATCAAATCAATCTTTAACCACCTTAATGTCTTTACTTGAGTTACAAAAAGTGAATGTATAAATTGAGGTTAACAGTTAAAATTTAATAGTCTAAAATCCAATATTCCATTATTTTAATGTCTTCACTTGAGTTACAAATATATTATGTGTATTGGACTCAAGAGTAAACTCATTATCGAAACAAACTTTCCGATTGAGAAGAAACGACAGCCCTTACTACAAAAAGTTTTGAGTTACAAATATATTATGCGTATTGAACTCGAGTAAACTCATTACGAAATGAACTTTCCATTAAGAATAAACTACAGCACAAGCAACCAATCAATTTGGTACCATTAGACATGTTTTCCAAGTCAATATAATGTGTATCACAACACTGACAGTCAAAATGTCCAGGCCCCGTGCTGGGCAAAATACATTCACCATAGAAAGAAAGAAAACCCTCAGACAAACACAATATCCATTGATCTACCCAATAAACATTCTGAACCATCTAAGAGGCCAAAAGAGCCTCAACTTTAGCAATCTGATCCTCTTCGTTCTTCCGTTGTGGACTTTTATTGGCATCGTCAAACAAATCGTGCTCCCACTTCTTCTCATCCTTGTTGCTACTTCCTCGAAACCTTTGCCTTCCATTGTACCCATCTCTTCCCCTGTATGTGTCATTGACACCACCATATTTTCCTCTGGATGAGAAGCCCCTCCTCCATGCTTCTCCTCTGCTTTGTACTCTTTCTCCGGAAGATGGTCTCTCTGGTCTATCTGAATTGCGAGAGTTGCGACCTCTGTCCTCCCTTCTTTCACTTCCTACCACACCGTGGTCAGGACGGCTCTCCTTTTCCGGCTCAATGGCTTCTTTATCAGTATTTTCAGACTCCACCAGCACTTTCTTCTCCCTAAATGCAGGTCTTTTCCTGGTAGGTGGTGGCAGATCAGCCTCCAACTCATGGAACCTATCATGGTGCCAGACCCTATTGTCATCTCCCTTAGCTTGTGTTTTCACATCTCTTGGATGTCTATCATTAGATGCATCCTTGTCTGCTGCCCTTCCCTTGTGATGCTCTTTTGCATCCTTCCACCATCCCCGCTCTTCAAATGTTTTAGAATAAAAATAGATCAGTAATATGCTTGGTGGGAGATAAGAAAAAAAATTAACAGATATAAAATGATATTTAGAAGGATTAAACTCACCAGTAGCTGCTCCCTTAGCTAAGCTTCGACCAACCTGCCTGGAACTACCACGTTCATCATGCTGTTATAAGACATCCACAGGCAAGTCTAAGATTGTTATATACAAGGAGCACTTGATGGCATGGGGCCGAACAAGAATTCTGCTACATCAGCCCAGAAAAAATTGTTCGCACACACTGAATAACAGCCAAGTAATTAAACTCAAGCAAAATACTGGCTCTTGGATCTAGAGTCAAGAAGTTCCATGGGTTTTCGCGTAAGAGATCACATTGTTTACTTTCTAATAACTAACTTGACTGTCTAAATACCCAAACTATAGTTTGATGCTTTCCCTTGATCGGAAGAAATCATGCATCATAGAAATTTTTTTTTCCCCTGCAATGATGGTCAAGCATCCCATGAATAGAATAAATGCATCATATTCTTTAATATCGAAGTGCATGGGTAAATTTTTGTGCTTCTTACAATTAAGTCATCTTTGGAAGGGAGTAACCAAGAAAACTAGTAATAGAAAGTAGCAGCATTGCAGAAGATAACTGATTCACATTTACGATCAGGAACTGTTTACAGATTCAAATTTTCCTAATAGGCTCATTTCAATTGACAGATTAACAACTTCAGTTCCAACACAAATAGCAATGGATCTACTCAATTTTCATATGAACTAAAAGCACCCTAGTTATTCTCCTTTCATTCTTCTTTTGTTTTATTTCGTAAGATCTGAAATTCAAATACATTTCTACAACCCCATAATTCCTAAACTACTCAAAATAATGCACACTGCAAAACTTTGTTTTTTCTTTTGGAGGGGGGTTGGAGGAGAGGAAGAGATCCAGGTCAATAACAAGCTTGTAATAGAGCCAGTGACCTTTAAGTTTTAAGTAATATTCAAAGTTTCAGTAGTATCATTAACAGTAGCAATAGTTGTTCCAACCAGAAGCCTGGTTGGTGTTGCCTTACCTAAAGAATTTTTATTTCTCAGTAACTCTAGTGTTCCAAAGATCAAAGATCAGAAAAAATGCAAAAGCTAAACTGCTTAATTATGAGAAGCACATCTAATAAAAGCAAAGGAACGTGCAAAACTGACGAAAGACCTGAAAATAGGATCTAGAACGGGGAATTTCAGTTGGATCAGAAGAGTGTTTAGTTGCTTCAAGATGTCCGTTGCGTTTCCCCTCGGATTCTTTACTCGGAGTGTGAGTTTCAACCTTAGAACCAGGTCCTGGCGGTGCCTCAAGGGGAACGGCATCTTGCAGCCGACGCTGGTGCTTTTGGTCTCGATCTGAATGATCTCTACTTTCCAAATTGTTGCTACTTCGTACTCTTTCTGTTGCAAGTTTTCCATCCCTCCTATACCTTTTTGGACTGACACAAACAATGACCAAAAAAAATCATGTAAGACAATTGATCATGTCCATATGTTGAAACCAAAGAGGATAACATCAACCATTCAATTTATGAAACTATAAAGAAGGGTTGACTCCTTTTGGCAAGTGAGAAATTTCTAATTTTTCATTTCTAAATTCAAGTACATTTATATAAAAATACATGTGCTTCTTGAAAAAATCATGTAAGACAATTGATCATGTCCATATGTTGAAACCAAAGAGGATAACATCAACCATTCAATTTATGAAACTATAAAGAAGAGTTGACTCCTTTTGGTAAGTGAGAAATTTCTAATTTTTCATTTCTAAATTCATGTACATTTATATAAAAATACATGTGCTTCTTGAAAAGAATGTTCGTAAATTATAATGAAAATGTGCCATGACTCAGCCATGGCTAGAAAGAAAAATTCTTTACAAATCTTCCGATTCGAGTTAATATTGTGTCATTTCAGCAAAAGCATCTTCATCTCGAACTTAATCAGCCAAAAAGATCACAAGAAGAAATCAAACAGAATCATAAAACAATTACAGGGTTTCTCCTAACACTATGACCTACCTCTGGCTCAAACAGGTAATCTTTCTTCATCAAAGCACTATAAACCAATTTAACAAAACAAACAAAACCCCATGAACAAAACTCCCAAACTCTAATAATCACAGTAGAAATCCTAAAAAAGTCGCTCATAATCTACAAATAAACATATATACACGAAGTGTGAATGGAATTAGCCTCCCTGAACAGTGTATGCGCCTGTAAACGCGCGTGCGTGTGTGTATGAGTGTCTGGTGCATGCATAAAAACGTGTATGCACGAGGAGGATCAAAGAGGTGCTCACCTGGGTTCTCGGTCTAATCGGGAACGGTTACGTCTGGAGTCGGAATCCCGACCCTCTCGTCCAGACATTGATGCTTTCTGGCTGCTGTTCTTCTTCTTCTTCTTCTCGCCACTGACAGAGAACGGAGAAGAAGTAAGGAGATTAGGGGCTAGGGCTGCTGCGGGGTACTACTAGTCCTATGATGTGGAACTTCACATGAATTGGGATCTCTTAATCTTAGATCTGATCCTGACCGCACATTTGGATTACTATTGCGTGCATCGTGTTGACCTGTGATACGCTGCGGGCCTGTTTAGAATAATAGTATGTAATCAAAATAAAAAATATGAATATTATTTTTACCAAGTGAGAAAATGGAGGAAGCTCAACTGGTGGAGAAAGAAAATAATATGAATATTATTTTTTGTACGGGTGGCATCTAGCGGATGCAATCCGTACAAAAATATTTACACGTCAGTTAAAATATTAATAAAATCTCCAAAATTCTCTGAAAAATAAGAAGATGTCCTTCAATAAAAAAAAACTGAGGTTCTAGAAAAAACGATGGACGTTTCCAGTTAAGAGAAAACGGTGTCGTTTTATGAACTTTTGAGTCCATTTCTTCCTCCTGCCGTCAATTTTTTTTACACGTTTACAGTTAAACAAACGGTGTCGTTTTGTTGGTACTTTTTTTGAGTCCGCCATTTCTTCCTCCTGCCGTCAATTTCTTTTTACACGTTTCCAGTTAAGAAACAACGGTGTCGTTTTGTTAATACTTTTGAGTCCACCATCTCTTCCTCCTGCCGTCAATTTTTTTTTTACACGTTTCCAGTTAAAAAAACGGTGTCGTTTTGATGATACTTTCGAATTCACCGTTTCTTCCTCCTGCCGTCACTTTTTTTTTTTTACGCGTTTCCAGTTAAAAAAACGGTGTCGTTTTTACACCGTTTTTTTAATCATAAATACAGACTTTTTAGCAACACTTTTTATTCTTCTTCCTCCTCCTGCCGTCTTCTTCGTCCGAAAGAGAAAAGTTCCAGAACTTTTTTTTTCTCTCTCACAAAAAAGAATGGCGGTTTCTTCTTTATGCATCTTATTTGTAAAAGTTCCAGAACTTTTTAGTAATAGTTTGATGCATATACAAGAGAGTAATTGATAGCGTCAGCCAGTATATTGCAGCTTAGCATTCACGTTTAGCTACTGATTTAATCAAAGAAAAGGCTGAAAGTGAAGGGAGCCATTGAAGTTGGACTTGGGTTAAACCTATTATATTACTATTCAATTATGAGTTACGTTATACTCAGAAGTGAGTTATAATTTACAACAATAATACATAATTAAATTAGTTTCATTAATATCTCCAATTTGATAACCACATACTATTGTCAGAAAAACATCAAACTTTTACTTTGCAATTGGTCTATTTATTCTTATTCGTTTTCTAGATTTTGGTACTTAGTTTATAGATATTAATCTTATTTTATAATTTTATATGTAATTAAATTAACTTTTTTTTTCCAATTTTCAATAAGTTGATAGAATTGAGTTGATGTTTTTATTCGAAATAAAAAATTATTTTTTATTATTTAAATAAAATTTTAATGGAAAAAATCACATTTATTAAGTTCTTAGACCAAATTGTATTTAAAAATATTTGTTCTTCTTTTGCACCTGAAAGCAATTTTCGGGATTTCTAAACTATGATGGTCTTCTCTGTGTATTATTCTGCTTCGTACACTATCCACTTGACCTTCATAATTATTCTTCTGCTTTATTTTCTACATAACATAAACAGAGAGTGAAAGGTAAGATAGTTTTCTTTCATTATCCATAGGATCTTTCTTCTCATGTTTTGATTTTTGGAAATCTTTTCTTTTTTTTACACGTGAAAGAATACTTCTATTCGCATCTTATTTTGAAAACAACCCTTATACGATTTTTTTAAAGCTACATGGACATCGTAAATAAAATACTAGATGAGCTACTATAATGCTATTGGTAAGATCAATCAAATAAGTTTTTAGAAATCTTTTCTTTTTCTATCTTTTTCGCATGTGAAAGAAAATTTCCAGCGAAATCGATGGGATTTATTTTTTCTTGAAATTGAGGGAATTTTTACTTGTAATTCGATTTTGGAGGAGAAATTGGGAAATCGGCATGCGTGTAATTCAAGTTTCCTCTTCTTCTCTTTGAAATTTATTAATGATTTTCTTTTACTTGCTTGTCCAGTAAAAAAATAGAGGAAAAGAATGGCTTGATATATCAGTCTACATAAAACTTGAGGATGCACTATTCTTCATGAGATATAATAGCATTTCCTTTTTTTACACCATTTTCTTTACCAGACAAGTCAGTGATGTCTTCTGGAAGAAAATTTCCACACTTTTTCAAGGTCGTGGCCTTCTTTTGCACCTGAAAGCGATTTCCACTTTGTAAACCACCATGGCATTCTCCTTATTCTGTGTACTTTTTTTCATACACTACAATAATCTGTTCATCTTCATAATATCGTTGTGCTTTATTTTTTATATCACATAAACACAGAGTAAAAGGTAAACCAACTTGCTTTCCTTCTTTCTTTATCCATAGTTTTCTTCTTAGGTTTCGAAATGATTTATATTTTCTTGAAATCTATGAAATTTTTATTTGTAATTCGATTTCAAAGAAGAAATTGGTAAATCAGCATGCAGGTAATATAAATGTATTAGAATGTAAGTTCTAAAATGGTCATGACATATACATAGATAAATATATATATATATATATATAGTATATGAACATACATTACTACTTACATCCATAAATTCAAAAAATAATTGTGCAATATATGTACGCATACGTAGTATACAGTTTTACTGCTAATATAACAGTTTTTTTTATGCCTTATTTTTTCTTTTGTGGTATGTGTCTGTTAATAAGAGATATACCAAAAAAAGTTAAAAGAAATAACTATAAAATAATATCAGTCTATTTGCACAGTAAGTAACGATATTGAAATTATGATAATTGTTATATCTTATTGTAAGCAATTAAAAATAATTTACCAGCTAAAACTACCACTTCGAATTCAACCGAAACACACAGACACCAAGACTACCAAAATAGTAGTTCTCTTCTCTGTTTCATCACAACAAAAATAAAAAAAAAAAACAAATAATAAATCAAAATCTCTAACTATCCTCTTAAATTCAGATAAAAAAAAATGTGAATATTAAATTATTATTTATTTTCGTTTGATTCTAATAAAAAATGAGAACTCTTAAATGGCGAAGACAAAAAATTAAAAAAAAAGAGTGAAGAATACTAGTTTGCTTTTACTAATGTCCCTATTTAGATTCGAGCTAATATTGAGAGCAAATATAACACAAGGATGATCAAGGAGGTCGAGAGGATATAGTGGACAAAGAACAAGACAGAGAATGAGAAGGTCATCGTTGTTGAGAAACTCTAAATGTTTTCTTTGAAATGCAAAAGAAAATTAAAAAAAAAAATAGAATCAAATTCTCTAGTTATCATCCGAAATCCAAAGAAGAAAGAAACTGGATATTAAATTATTTTTGTTTCTATCTGATTTTAGTTACGAACAAGAACTCCTTAGTCACCAAGATGAAAAAATTAAAGAAAGAATGAAAGAAAACTTTGTTGTTTCTAGTTATGTCTCTGTTAAAGTTCGAGATAGTTTTGAGAGAATAAACATCACAATGATGATCAAAAATGCCAAAAGGAAGAAGTAGAGGAAAAAGAAGGCAAGTAAGGATAAGACCGACATCGTTTGAATTTGAATATTTATAACTAACCCTTCCATTATCAACAAAAAATATATCATGATGGTGAGATCAGCAATATTTATTAACAAACAAAAATGATCAGCTTAACTATTAATCAACCACTAGTACTAATAAAATAACTTATCGGTTAAAAATTTTTTATTATGCTTTAATGTTACGAATTTAAATTGTATTAAATATGTAAAATTTTATTTTGCGAGTGTATTGTAAATTAATATAATATTTAATTCATAAATAGTAAAAATTTATATCACTAATTTATTTGTAGGGTTATACTAACTCTATTTTAACGAATTTATTATATTTTTTAATTAAAAAAATATTGTATCACAATGAATTATAAAAACTTGACTTATCTTTTTTTATTTTCACATTCATTATCAATGTGTTGTATGCATATATATATATATATATATATATATCAACTTTCAAGTCAAATTGCTTGCAGAAAAAGATGGTTGTTGAATTGAGGAGGATCCATCAGGCGTTACTGGACCTGA